GGTTGTTGTTGGTGGGGGTGGGTTTTCGGTATGGGTGGTTGGTGGTGAGTGGATTGTAAAGGGTTTGGGGGGTGGATTTATGGTGGGGTTAAATGGTTGCTGGTGGTGGGATTAAGTGATATTGGGTGGTTTTTCAGGTGTGACATTGGGGGTGGGGGTTTGGGTGGTGTGGGGTTGTTGTTGGTGGGGGTGGGTTTTCGATATGGGTGGTGGGGTGGTGGGTGGATTGCAAGGGGTTTGGGGGCGGGTTTGTGGTGGGGTTAGGTGGTTGCTGGCGGTGGGATTAAGTGATGTTGGATGATTTTTCAGGGGGGGTGTTGGGTGGTTTTTCAAGTATGGCGTTGAAGGTGGGGGTTTCAGTGGTGTTTGGTTGCTGTTGGTGGAGGTGGGTTTTCGATATAGGTGGTTGGTGGTGGGTGGCTTGCAAAAGGTTTGAGGGGTGGGGTTAGGTGGTTACTAGTGGTGGGATTAAGTGGTGTTGGGTGGTTGATTTTAGGTAAAATCTCAAACATGTTTTTTATTTTTGTTTTCATAATTTTTTAAATATAAAATAATTATCAAATATGTTTTATATTTTTTAATTTTTATCACAGAAAAATAAAAAATAGTTTTTTGCAACCATGATGTGATTTAGTAGTGATGGTCAATGACCAATGATTCAGTAGAGAGTTGAACAGTATGTGAAGATGCATTGGGGTTGGAGAAGATGTGGTGGCAAAATTTATTCAGATTTTAAGGAGGGCAAGGTGGTCTTTTTGCCATTTGTCGTTAACGGTGTTAGCTACACACTTTAGTCCAAAAACACAAGAAGACTATGTGCTGATTTTTAAATCACAAGGAGATAATGTGCACACCGACCAAATTACAATGGGGTAAACTAGATTTTGCCCTATTTTTTATTATTTTTCATTTTTTGGTACATATGAGGTAGAGCTGTTAATCAAACCAAACTTGAATATTTTTTAAAACTCGTTTATGTGTAAATATTCAAACGAGTCAGCTCGTTTATGTGTAAATTCAGCTCGATTTAAGTTCGAATTCAGCTCGATTAACACCCCTAACCAAAAAAAAATAGAAGAGTCAAAATTGAAATAGATTTTGGTGTATTTTTCCTTTTTAATCACTTTGACTGTTATTTTTATTTTAGGTAGAATGGCATTCTTTTGTGTTCCAAAAATTTGCAAAAATATCCTCCTGGGTTTGTTCAGTAAAATGCAATCATTCGTTTATTCAGTATAAATAACGATTAAAGCGTATAATTTATATAAGTTAATTAGAATTTAATCCAAGATATTCAAAATTTTCATTGCATGCATTGAACATAGATAAAAGAAAATTTTAATTTAATTTAAATTCGAACACAAAATTTTAAAATCTAACCCTAGTTGTGTAACCGAGTTTAAGAATGGACACTATTTAAATTGAAAAATTTGTATTGAATTTGAATAAAAACCGTGTTTTTAGAGTCTGGGTAATCCAAATTTATTTCTCAACCCGTCTAGATTACTACCCTAGTCAAACTTCAAAAGAAAAAATTGACTAAAATAGTCAGAAAATTTAACTTACAGTTCTTGCATCAAAAACAAAAGAAATACGTTGTTGTTTTATTAAAGCTTTGCTTCACTTCCGTCAACAATTGGACTTTATTCTAGGATTTATGTACGTGGTTTGAAACTAAGGTAGGCTCAAACATGTTGACGTTAGTTTTAAACCATTTGAAACTACAAATACAATACACTCATTTTTTTATTTTTTTTTTGGGATTGTTTAAAAAGACACGGTATGTTTTTCACGAAAGATATTACTCAAGAAATTGGGTTTTCTTTGGTAAACATTGTAAAATAAGGGTCAGATACATGAAGAATCAAAATTCAGTGAGTATCAAATTCTTTTTTTGGTTCAATGTCGGGGATATCTGAGTCAGTTTATGCATTCAATATTTGAATTTAGAACGTTTGAATTTATAATTTATTTCAGCTACCACTTAACTATTTTTGAGTTATAAGTATCAAATTTTAAGTCTTAGTTATTGCAATTATTCTGGTTTTTTTAGCTAAACAACACAGCCGAATTAGTTTGTTGGGTGATGGAGGGGAAAATGGAACAACAGATTCTTGAAATTGTGTTATTGTCTATGATACATTTATTATTAGCAATAATTACACTAATTCGTATTGCTTAATGGTTTATATCGGAGACATCCCGTTGTTTTCTCAAAAATATACTAGCACCCCCGTTAGTTTTTGTCTAATAACTGAGAAATAAAATTACATATTCAACCTTAATATCTAAATTGTCACCACCACCATTCCCACAGTCCACTACCCTCACCCACTAAGATTTCCACTCATCCACGCGTAATTCTCACATCCTCGGCCACTCGTCAAATTTGTCTCCCATCGATTCACTAGCCAAACCCTAATTGATCCACAAGCTTCAACTTTGCAAATTATTCCCACGTGATAATATGGAAAGAATCATCCTTCCGAATTTTATTAAAGATCAGAGAAGGAGAGATCGTACTAGTGGGTTAGTTGGTTTGTGTGTATTTATATATATTTGTTCTATTTGGAAAAAGAAAAAACGCCAAATCCAACAAATTATGAGTAATTTTGTGCCGACGAAATATGGGGTATTTGGATGATAATAGTTTGAAAAGATGTTATATTTTTCAAAATGCAAGAGATGCTCATAACGACAAGTACATTGTGTGAAAGAATATATAAATAATAATAAAAGAGTACAATGATATTTCAAAAACTAAAGGGGTTTCTCTATAACTTCGATAACAAACAATGGATATCACTGATATTTACCTAGCAGTATGATTCTCTATGGGAAAAAAATTTCTGTATTTATTGTGAAAAGGTACGTTGGTTGACTCACCATTTGTAGACTTTTGCAGTTAGAATTGAATTTCCAAAAAAGTACAAA